CCCTTAAAGAGAGGGGTGTGGGGTGCGGAGCCCCCCCCGACCCTCCTCTCCCCCCTCCCCGGGGCAGGAGAAGCCGATAATTAATCATAACCAGCCGCGCTCGGCTCCGCAGGGTGGGAACGCCAAAGTTTGATATTTAAAGCGGGGGTTTGGGGGGGGAGTTCTGAGTTCGTTTGGGGTCGTTGTGGCGGTTTTTTTCCTGCCGTGGCAGCGGAAACACGCGTGGGCCGGGAGCTGGTTAACCCTCGCCTTGCCCCACCCGAGCCGCCTCGACAGTTTTCACAGCTAAAGAGGAGAGAAAGGGGGGGGGGAAAGTGTTGTTGGAGCGCGAGATGAAATCGGAATAAAAAAGAATAACCCGGAGACGCCGCAATAACCCCGGTGAGAGAGAGGGGAAGACGTTGCTTAAGAGAAAATTGAACGGAATAACGAGCAATTACCAGCGCACGCCGAGAGGGTTTTGTGCCTGAATAACCAGTCAATAGATTTACGCAGCATGGGGAAAGAATAAAAACCGGGAAAAGGGAAAGGAGAGGGAGGGGGGGGGGGAAGAAAGGGAAAAGAGATGATTGCGATCGCTACCGAGCCGTCACCGCAGGCCCCACGAGTGGGGGAGCCGCTCTGAGAGAGGCAGCAGATAAATGTGCGAGGCGAGGCGAGCCTGGCTTGGCTTTGCAGTATTTCACCCCAAACCGACGGGGAAATGACAGGCGAGACGCCAGAAAGAGAGGCGGATAAAAGAGGAGTTTTATCCGCTGAGTGTTACACGCCAATAAAATTAAATATCTCCGCCGCTCGCCAAATAACCGGGTGGAACAATCCGCGAGCAGCAGCCAAGCAAATAAAATAATACGAATTAAAAGAAAAGCCCTCGGGGGGGAGGAGGAGCCGCCCCCATTTGAGCCCCCTTCCCCCCCCCCGAGGTAATTGCCCCCCTCCCCCCCCTCGAGGCAGCCCGAGGTGCCGGAGGAGGAAACTTTTGTTTTGCAGGTTCAGGAAATTGTTCCCTTGTTTTCCCCCGTGTCAAAGGAAATCCTATAAAGTTTTATGGGGCTTATTGGCTCTCTCCCGGCGTTTGTTTTGCGCCTGTAAAAAAAAAAAAAAACACCAAAAAAAAAAAAAGGAGCTTGGCAGGAGCGCGGGCGGGGCCGCCCCGCGTGTGCGCGTCTGGGCGCGGGGGGAGGGCACCAGAAAATCAGAGGTTAAAGCCCCTTTTATGCAAATCCCGGCGGCGACGTTTGGGCGCGGCGCGGGGACCCCCCCGGGCTGCCCACGGGTGGGGTCGGGAGGGGAAGGACCCGGGGGAGGGGGGGGTCGCCTGAGTGGGGAGGGGGCGCGATGGGGGGGGGTTGTGGAGCCCCCCCCGCGCCTCCTCCATATGGTGGAGGGTCCATCTGGAGCCGAGCGGGGGCCCCCGGGATGGCGGGGGGGTGGAGGGATGGAGGGAGGGATGGAGGGATGGAGGGATGGATGGAGGGAAGGATGGAGGGATAGATGGACGGACACCCCACGGAAGGCGCGTTTCCCCCCCCACGTGTTCCACGTTAGGCCCAGACAGAAGAGAAAACCTGTTTTTCTTTAAATAAATAAATATATATACATATAAAAACCCAGGAGGGAAGCGCAGCCCCTCCCCTTCCCCGCAGCCTCTCCCCCCCACCCCGCTCCAAGGGCTGCTCCCCTCTGGAGAAGGGGGTTCCTCGGGGCCCCCTCTTCCCCCCACAGCCCCCCCCGCGCCCCCAGTCCCATCCCAGTCACCTCCAGTCGGGCACTGGGACCTCCTTCCCACGTCCGACCTGCAGCGAGAGGCGACGGCCGCGCGATTTTGGGGGCAAAAATCATTTTATCCCGAGTATACGTTGGGGAGACGGGAGGGGGGAGGAGAGAGAAACAGA